AAAATATATGAATAGTTACAATAAAAGTAATTATAGAAAAGCTCCAGGCAGGCAACTTTACGGCGGTGGGAAAACGACTGAAGCCGAGCTGCCAGATCAGGACCGATAATATTACTGATACTTTGGATTTTATCAAGGATCTGTAGATATATACCGGTAACACAAGACCATATATGACAGTAATATAAGAATATTACTGTCATATATGGTCTTGTGCATGCGCAATGGTAGACTTGTGTAATGGTAGACTTGTAAATATGCAAGATACACCCTTGTGCAAATTAATTGAAACAACAGCTTTAGGTTCCTTTCTTTCACCATACGTCCATTTTTAAACCCACTGGAGTATTTTCGAGGTGTACCGAGGTGTACCGTTAAATTTGTTTGTCCTAAAAAAATATTGTGTCATCCGTGTTTGCATTAGATTTTCATCACGCTCAGATACTATTGTCTCGACTGTCGATTAGTTGTCCTACGGCAATTGCCTGCGATGGACGTTACACTTAGGAAGCGTACGAAAATTATAATGCTGCACGAACACACTGGCAAGTGTTACCAGTGAGCAAATCAAATTACAGACTGACCCAGAAACTCTTCTGATTTAAATCCAGTCGAGAATCTGTGGTTAATCTACGAGGAATGACTTCATGGAATGGATATACGAAGTACCAAGTCGTGCACTGGGTCATGTTTCATTTGAAAAATAAGTAAATAATAACGGAATTATTCGTTTTGTTTCAATTAATTTGCACAAGGGTGTAGGTGATCATGGCCCTCCCCATCTTCCTGCATAATTAATTTGCACAAGGGTGTAGATTCAGGGGAAAAAATCGTCTAGCCCGGCAGATTAAACCAACATTCTTAGCTGTATACCTAACAATGGATTCAATATAATATTTTTATTTCTTGTCACACTATGTGAGGTTAGCAACAGCCATGCGAATGTGTGACAAATATCGATCTCTCAGTTGAGTAACAGGCAACAGTTTATTTTTGGAGGCGTCAAAATTAACAAGCCCTCCTTTGCCCCAGATAACAACAAACTGAAGGTCGTTTTTGACAACCGTCGCTAATTCGACTTTGATCTGATTTAGTATTGAGACAGGAGTAAATGGGTGTGTCATCAGCATAGACACAAAGTTGAGAGCTGATGCAGTTGGGAAATTTGTTAATGAAAATTGAAAACGAAGTAGGACTAAATATGCAGCCCTGGGGGACCCTTGCATTAATGCAAAATGTTCTAGAGGAGTAGGCATTCGGGATAACATTGCACGATGAGATAAGTAAGACCGGACCAGATCGAAAATTTGGCCGGAAACTCCATCCAGCTGGAGGAATGTTTATTTCCACGGAAAACTGAATCGATATAATTTAGCTTAAGACTGCTTATGTTTGAGATTTTTTTTCTAGACAAAAGAATATATCTTTGTTCGCATGTCACGTCTGTTTTCCCCTAAAGAATACTTTATTTAATCAATTTATTTTATTTCTATTTTTTTTTTTTTGCGCCCGTAAAATCACGGATTTTATCTGCGCATTTAAGAAAGAAATTAACTTTTGAAAACATTAAAGTTTGTTTAGTTTTTATTCTAATTGTCCACCCAATGCAAGCTCTAAAAGCCAATCAAGGTAGAGGCTTACTGTATGGGGTAGTATTAGAGTAAATAAGCGTTAGGAGGAGAGAATTGAAGTAGACTCCAGAAAGAACTGGAAACTCTGTCATAAAAAGGAAACAAGAGATAAACCTCTACCCCTGTTTGAAAGACCCAGTGGGGTGTGAATAGGATGATGTCTACTCGTATTAGTGAAGGAGAGAAAAATAAAATAAATACTTAATAGAATTTTAGAGTTCAGGCCCAGACATTAGGAGTAGAGAACTGAAGCACAAGCACAGTCCTCAACAGGAAAGAAAGAATAAACCTATAGTCCTGTTCAAAAAAAACAGGGAAGAGAGTGGACCGGATAATAGGCAGACCTATGTAAAGAAAGATAATACAACAAGTTCCACAAAAAATTAATGTAGTTGATAATACTATTTGCTTGAGTAACCTAGGGTATACAATTAAATCTATTGTTGCAAGAAAAATAAAAATTCTTCTTTTTTTTCTTTACACCATTACAAGTCGAACTCTCCAAAAATCCTTAAACATGAGCCCTAAGTAATTTTGAAATTGCATCGCTTCTATTTTCTATACTAGTGTTTCTCAACCTTCTTAAGCAACGGCGCACGTAGGAGCAAATAAAAATATCACGGTACACTTAGAAAATCTTTTAAAGGATATACATTTAAATGTTATGAAATAAAACCATAGATTTAAATAATATACACACAGAAATATGAACTTATTTTGAATATTAAAACAAAGTATTTAAAAAAAAACATAATCGAAGAATAGTGAAAATAACTATTTGAATAAACTTGAATACTTATTCAAATACTAACGCTATATCTGCCTGTATCTCTGAGATGAAATATTATGATTACTTACATTATTTACATTATTCGGACTGTTACCCTCATCTTCATTGCCAGTTCACGTTTCGGACCTTGCATGCTGCAGCCTCCTTCAGGTGATTGGAATTTTGAAACGAAAACCTATATCTCTTCGACTGGGGAAGATTGTTCTAGTTCCACGTGCCATGCCTCATCCGAATGTCTAAGTTATTTCCCTTTAACTCAACTGTTGTGGCTTGGTATTGAACTCACAACTCTTTGGGTCTAGTCCCTATTTGGGTCTAGTCCCTATTTGGGTCTAGTCGCAACGTCTTTATCTACTGAGTCATGTGTCCTTGAGGCAACGAAGATGAAGATAACAGTTCGAATAATGTAAATAATGTAAGTACTAACGCTGTAGCATTAGTACTTCCACACACATATTTCGCGGCTCACTTAAAAGGATCGCGCGGCACTAGTGTGCCGCGGCACGACAGTTACGAATCACCGTTCTAAATGGGTCTAGAATTTGTCGTCAACTATATAAACTAATTACAGTCTTTTATTTTATGTTAAGATTGTTTAGCCGCATGTTTTTACCAGTAGTGTGTGGACCGTGAGAATGGGAAAATAAGTTGTTGCATTTTTGTTAATACCCTATAATACTTGATACACCCCTTTAATCAGCTTAAAACTGAAAAAAAAATCTATTCGCTCAATATATGATCTGAGATGATAAAGTCATGATTACATGCAATTTTCCAAGTCGGAATTCTTGCATCGATTAACATGAGTGTAATTTGCCTTGGTAAATCATTGTAGTTGAACTTCAGCTTACTTTTTTACACTAAAATCATGGCTCAAATGTCAACTGGAACAAAGACGAAGGTTGTGAGTTTGAAGAGGAAGATGACTCAACGAGAGAGACAGGTGACTGGGAATTTCCAGGAACAGCCTTTAAACGTCCCAAAAATGTTTGCTACTACTGGATATGTTTGTTTGTTTCTTTCTTTCTTTCCTTTTTTCTTTCATTCTTTCTTTCTTTCTTTCCTCTTTTCTTTCTTTCTTTCTTTCTTTCTTTCTTTTCTTTCTTTTCTTTCTTTCTTTTTTTCTTTCTTTCCTCTTTTCTTTCTTTCTTTCCTCTTTTCTTTCTTTCTTTCTTTCTTTCTTTCTTTCCTCTTTTTCCTTCTTTCTTTCTTTCTTTTTCTTTCCTTTTTCTTTTTCTTTCTTTCTTTCTTTCTTTCTTTCTTTCTTTCTTTTTTTCTTTCTTTCTTTTCTTTCTTTCTTTCTTTCTTTCTTTTTTTCTTTCTTTCTTTCTTTATTTCTTTCTTTCTTTTCTTTCTTCTTTCTTTCTTTTTTCTTTTTTCTTTTTCTTTCTTTTTCTTTCTTTCTTTCTTTCTTTCTTTCTTTCTTTCTTTCTTTCTTTCTTCTTTTCTTTCTTTCTTTCTTTCTTTATTTCTTTCTTTCCTTTTTTTTTTCTTTCTTTCTTTCTTTCCTTTTTTCTTTCTTTCTTTATTTCTTTCTTTCTTTCTTCTTTTCTTTCTTTCTTTCTTTCTTTATTTCTTTCTTTCTTTTTTCTTTCTTTCTTTCCTTTTTTCTTTCTTTTTTCTTTCTTTCTTTTTTTCTTTTTTCTTTTTTTTTCTTTCTTTCTTTCTTTCTTTCTTTTTTCTTTTCTTTCCTTTTTCTTTCTTTCTTTTTCTTTTTTCTTTCTTTCTTTCTTCTTTTCTTTCTTTCTTTCTTTCTTTTTTCTTTCTTTCTTTCTTTCTTTCTTTTTTCTTTCTTTCTTTCTTTCTTTCTTTCCTTTTTTCTTTCTTTCTTTCTTCTTTTCTTTCTTTCTTTCTTTCTTTCTTTCTTTCTTTCTTTCTTTCTTTCTTTCTTTACAGCTATCATTCTGGACCACTCTTCTTTCTTCGCTTCTTTTGCTTTGTATCAATTTTCTTTCTTTTTCTTTCCCTCTTCCTTTTTTTCTTTTTTCTTTTTCTTTCTTCACATCTATCATTCAGGACCACTTTTCTTTATTCGCTTCTTACGTTTTACTTATAGTTTTGCATCAGTTTTCTTTATCTTTCTTTCTTTCGTTTAGCTACCATTCGGAATTATTTCTATTTATTTGTTTCTTTCTTTCGTTTTTGATATAATTTTTAACCATTTTCTTTTTTTCTTTCTTTCTTTCATTATCTTTCTTTCTGTCTTTCTTTCATTCACACTTTCTTTCTTTCGTTTTAGCTATCATTGCGTACTATTTTTCTTTTTTCTTCTTTATTTCTTTATTTTGTTTTATCTATAATTCTAGACCATTTAATTTTTTTCTTTATCTCTTTCTTTCTCTATTCCTTTCTTTCTTTCTTCCTTTTGTTTTATCTATTCTGAATCATTTTCTCTCTTTCTTTCTTTCTTTTTCCTTCTTTCTCTCTTTCTTTCTTTCTTTATTTATTTCCTTCTTTCTTTCCTCCTTTCTTTCTTCTTTCTTTCTTTCTCACGTTATTTTTTCGTTTTAGCTAGCATCGCGTACCATTTTTCTTTCTTTCTTTTTTCTTTATTTCTTTATTTTCTTTTATCTATAATTATGGACCATTTTATTTATTTATTTATTTATTTATGTATCTTTTTCTTTCTTTCTTTTGTTTTATCTATAATTCTGGACCATTTTCTTTCTTTCTTTCTTTCTTTATCTGTTCCTTTCCGTCTTTCTTTCCACCTTTCTTTCTTTCTTTCTTTCCGTCTTTCTTTCCATCTTTCTTTCCACCTTTCTTTCTTTCTTTCTTTCTTTCTTTTTCTTTTTCTTTCCATCTTTTCTTTCTTTTTTTTCTTTCTTTCTTTTTCTTTTTTCCGTCTTTCTTTCCATCTTTTCTTCCACCTTTCTTTCTTTCTTTCCGTTTTCTTTCCATTCTTTCCACCTTTCCGTCTTTCTTTTCCATCTTTCTTTCTTTTCTTTCTTTCTTTCTTTCCGTCTTTCTTTCCATCTTTCTTTCTTTCTTTCCGTCTTTTTCTTTCCATCTTTTTTCTTTTTTTTTTTTCTTTCTTTCTTTCTTTCTTTCTTTCCGTTATTTCCATTTTTTTTTCTTTCCGTCTTTCTTTTCCATCTTTCTTTCTTTTTTCTTTTCTTTTCCATTTTTTTTTTTTCGTCTTTCTTTCCATCTTTCTTTCTTTTCTTTTCTTTTCTTTCTTTCTTTCCATCTTTCTTTTCTTTTTTTTTTCTTTCTTTCCGTTTTCTTTTCTTTCTTTTTTTCTTTCTTTCTTTCCGTCCTTCTTTTCCATTTATTTCTTTCTTTCTTTTTTTTTTTTCTTTCTTTTTTCTTTCTTTTCTTTTGTTTCTTTCTTTTTCCATCTTTCTTTTTTCTTTTTTCTTTCTCCTTCTTCCGTCCACCTTTCTTTCTCTTTCCTTTCTTTTCTTTCTTCCATCTTTCTTTCTTTCTTTCTTTTTTTCTTTTTTCCGTCTTTCTTTTTCCATCTTTCTTTCTTTCTTTCTTTCTTTCTTTCTTTCTTTCTTTCCGTCTTTCTTTCCATCTTTCTTTCTTTCTTTCCGTCTTTCTTTCCATCTTTCTTTCTTTCTTTCTTTCTTTCTTTCTTTCCGTCTTTCTTTCCATCTTTCTTTCTTTCTTTCCTTTCCGTTTTCTTTCCATCTTTCTTTCTTTCTTTCCATCTTTCTTTCTTTTCTTTCTTTCCGTCTTTCTTTCCATCTTTCTTTTCTTTTCTTTCCGTCTTTCTTTTCCATCTTTTTCTTTCTTTCTTTCTTTCTTTCTTTCGTCTTTCTTTCCATCTTTCTTTCTTTCTTTCTTTCTTTCTTTCTTTCTTTCTTTCTTTTCTTTCTTTCTTTACAGCTATCATTCTGGACCACTCTTCTTTCTTCCTTCTTTTTTGCTTTGTATCAATTTTCTTTCTTTTTCTTTTCCTCTTTTTTTTTCTTTTTTCTTTTTCTTTCTTCACATCTATCATTTCAGGACCACTTTTCTTTTTATTCGTCTTTTTACTTTCAGTTTTCTTTATCTTTCTTTCTTTCGTTTAGCTACCATTCGTTATTTCTATTTATTTGTTTCTTTCTTTTCATTTTTTGATTTTTAACCATTTTCTTTTTTTTTTTTCTTTCTTTCATTATCTTTCTTTCTGTCTTTCTTTCATTTTTTTTCTTTCTTTCTGTTTTAGCTATCATTTGCGTACTTTTTCTTTTTTCCTTTTATTTCTTTTTTTATTTTGTTTTATCTATAATTCCCATTTAATTTTTTCTTTATCTCTTTCTTTTCTTTCTTTTCTTTCTTTCTTCCTTTTGTTTTTATCTATTCTGAATCATTTTCTCTTTTCTTTTCTTTCTTTTTTCCTTCTTTCTCTCTTTCTTTCTTTCTTTTTTATTTCTTTTTCTTTCCTCCTTTCTTTCTTCTTTCTTTCTTTTCTCACATTTCCGTTTTTCTTTACCATTTTTCTTTCTTTTCTTTTTTTCTTTCCTTCTTTTTCTTTTATCTATAATTATGGACCATTTTATTTATTTATTTATTTATTTATTTATTTTTTCTTTCTTTCTTTTGTTTTTTATCTTTTCTTTTTTTTTTTTTCTTTCTTTCTTTATCTTTCCTTTCCATCTTTCTTTCTTTCTTTTTCTTTCTTTCTTTCTTTCTTTCCGTCTTTCTTTCCATCTTTCTTTCCACCTTTCTTTCTTTCTTTCTTTCTTTCTTTCCGTCTTTCTTTCCATCTTTCTTTCTTTCTTTCTTTCTTTCTTTCCGTCTTTCTTTCCGTCTTTCTTTCCATCTTTCTTTCCACCTTTCTTTCTTTCTTTCCGTCTTTCTTTCCATCTTTCTTTCCACCTTTCCGTCTTTCTTTCCATCTTTCTTTCTTTCTTTCTTTCTTTCCGTCTTTCTTTCCATCTTTCTTTCTTTTCCGTCTTTTTTCCATCTTTCTTTCTTTCTTTCTTTTCTTTCTTTCTTTCTTTTTTTTTCATCTTTCTTTTCATCTTTCTTTCTTTCCGTCTTTCTTTCCATCTTTCTTTCTTTCTTTCTTTCTTTCCGTCTTTCTTTCCATCTTTCTTTCTTTCTTTCTTTCTTTCCGTCTTTCTTTCCATCTTTCTTTCTTTCTTTCTTTCTTTCTTTCTTTCTTTCTTTCCATCTTTCTTTCTTTCTTTCTTTCTTTCTTTCCGTCTTTCTTTCCATCTTTCTTTCTTTTTCTTTTCTTTCTTTCCGTTTCTTTCCACCTTTTTTCTTTCTTTTCTTTTCTTTCTTTCTTTCTTTTCTTTTTCTTTCTTTTCTTTTCTTTCCGTCTTTTCTTTCCATCTTTCTTTCTTTCTTTCCCGTCTTTCTTTCCATTTTCTTTCTTTTCTTTCTTTCTTTTCTTTCTTTCTTTCCGTCTTTTTTCCATTTTCTTTCTTTTCTTTCTTTCTTTCTTTCGTTTTTCTTTTTCCATTTTCTTTCTTTCTTTCTTTTTCTTTCTTTCTTTCCGTTTTTTTTCCATCTTTCTTTCTTTCTTTCTTTCTTTCCGTCTTTCTTTCCATCTTTCTTTCTTTCTTTCTTTTTTTTATCTATGAGCCTGGACCGTTTTCTTTCTCTATTTCTTTATTCTCGTTCTTTTTTTTTTATTCTTTTTTCCCCTTTTTCTTTTCTTTCGTCCTTTGTTTCTTATCTCTTTATTTATTTTTTTTTTTTTTATCTATAATTCTGGGCCATTTTATTTTTTTCTTTATCTCTTTCTTTCTTTATCTTTTACTTTCTTTCTTTCTTTTGTTTTATCTCTAATTCCGGACCGTTTTCTTTCTTTCTTTCTTTCTTTCTTTCTTTCTTTCTTTCTTTCTTTCTTTCTTTACCTGTTCCTTTCCTTCTTTCTTTCCTCCTTTCTTTCTTTCTTTCTTTACCTGTTCCTTTCCTTCTTTCTTTCCTCCTTTCTTTCTTTCTTTCTTTTGTTTTATCTATTCATATGGACCATTTTCTTTCTCTATTTTTTCTCGTTCTTTCTCTCTTTCTTTCTCTTCCTCTCTCTCACTTTCTTTCTTTCTTTCTTTCTTTTTTCTCGAATTCAGCCTCTTCTATTCCCACTTAATAAATATTCACCAAAGCATCAACAACCTCTCACATTTTTTTCATTTGCTAACCAAACGTGCACAATTACTAAACGTTAACGCAGTTGTTGTTTACAAGGGTTTAGCTATTTGGTATCCCTTTTATTTTCAGCTAACCACACCTGGTGGCCATAACCCCAACAAGAACGCCCCGCACCAAACCTAGCGGACCCTGTCATAATAAACCCACATCACTGGCTGCATCCTGTGAGAACAGGCAATAGCCACATTACAATCTCAAAGCCTATTTACCCGAAGTGATAAAACGTTTTAGACAAACGGGCGAATACAGTCATTCCATATGAATAAAATAAATAAACAGGAATAAAATTACACGTATATCTGACAACGTTCTTGTTTTGTTTTTTTTTTGCTGCCCTTGTGAATCGTGTGAGGTTAACTTTCTCTTTCAAAAGACATTCATCAAAGGACGTCAAAGAAAGAACGCAATAGACTTACAAGTTTATGTCTGATTTTTTGAGATGTTGAATTATCATTATTCATATTATTTTACACGAGGACTATTGTCCTAGTCTCTATTGCTGTTATCACAACGTTTCGTCTTTCGTACCCTCTGGACTTCATCAGGGGATTTTGTACTGAAGGCTTTATTTGATCTACGGAGGTAAGTTGTTCTCGTTCCGCTGACAATGTTTCGGGATATATCATCATATTCTTAAGGTATTACTCAGGCATTGTCCGCCCATTATCCAGCGAGTCCAAATACTCACTGCCCGGCCCAGGGATTGAACTCACAATTACTATGTAACCAAATTCACGAGCCAAATAATAACTTTAATCCAATCAACAACGATGAACAATAATAGTCTGTGTGTAAATATTTACTTACAAGTGGGGATTCGGAGCTATATAATCTTAAAAAGTAAAACTGATGTGCACAATGAGATTAATTAATCTTTGAGATTGAAAAATAATAAGAAGTCACAAGACACATTAGCTAAAATCTATTAAGCGAGCTAAGAAATGCTCATAATATCACCGATGTGTAATAATAATAATAATAATTGTCGTTGCTAGCACGAGCCTTATGCCCTGCCAATACCTTATAAATAATGAACTATTCCGTTTTGATCGCATGAAAAGAGGGAAAAGGCATTTGATTTCAGTGAAAAAATGATAGATAGATAGATAGATAGATAGATAGATAGATAGATAGATAGATTGTCATTTCAGTTTTGACTGCGTGGAAAAACAAAACACATTTCACGAAAGAAACAAAGAAAGAGAGCAAAAAAGAAAGAAAGAAAGAAACAAACAAACAGAGGAGTAAAGAAAGAAAGAAAGAAAGAAAGAAAGAAAGAAAGAAAGAAAGAAAGAAAGGGAGATAAAAATGCCTCTCGTCTGTTTCAGTGAAATGGAAAATATTGTTAACTGCAAATCTTTCCATTTATACTAATTTCTTAAAATAACAACCAATATTTAAATTTATGATTCTTATTGCAGTATTTTCTTAAAGTTATTTAACTCAAATATTTAACCGTGTGGTATACGGATTTCTACAAATAATTTCTTGTCATAGAACTCACCATGAGATTATCCAATCTTTAAATAAAATTCAAATAGGAAAACCGCGAAATTTTTACGTGTATTTCTAGTAATAATAATAATAATTATATTTAATGCGCAACACTCAGACACTCATCAGAAAGAAGTCAAGGTTTGTCGTCCAAAACGTATATTATTCAAATTAATCCATAGCCAATATTAATTTGATTTATTACGGCTTATCAACCCATTATAGGTTATTTAAAGACAATACCTTTTTGAATTGTAAGAATAATTTGTATCGCAGAAAGTAACGACAGTCTGCAGTGGGAATTCTGCCAAATTAGTCATGAATCGAAGAGATTATCGCCCTAGCCTGTACCACTCATTTGGGCGGGAGGATTTTTCACTGTTTTTAGAAAATCAGCATTGCACTCGATATAAAGCTAGGGTTTGATAATGATAAGTACTGACACCAAAATTAGATTCTTCACTTTTACCAATTTTTGAACATTTAGTTATACAGATCGTCTGAAAAACGATTCAGAAATTCCTAATTTTCGCAGTTTTTTGCTTCCAAACTGACTTCAAAATTTCAAGAATAAATGCAAATAACTTTGATATCTTTTGTATTAGATACATTGTCTAGAAAATATATTCAAACCAGAATTCTAATTACTCCCCACGAGCAAAATAGCCTATTTTATTTACTGTATTCATTAAGTAGAAACTATGTAAAAAAGAAAAAAAAATTGTAAAAGATTACAAAAAGGCTACTCAGTAAATAAGATCTTACACAATTTATTAGGTCATATTAATAAAAAAGCAAAAATATAGATAAAAGTGTATATAACACCATAATATTGCTGGGCACAAGTTATGAAACAAAATGTTTTAAATTTGCAATTTTTATTGAAAATCGCACTAAAACTGTATAATATATTACATCACAATACAGCCAAATAACTCATTATAATTTAACTTTGAAGCAAATGAAGGTTTTCTTTTTTAGTTTTAGTTCACTCAATAGAAGGCCCAAGTTTCGCTCAAGGTAGAGCGTTGCTGATTAAAATTGTTGTAAGGAAAAATGATGTAAGAGAATATTATTAAGACGATTAAGATAGTTATCGATTGACCCTGTACTTAAAGATACTAAGATTTAGTTGTTAGGGAAGCATTCCGTATGGAACATGTTTTTTTTTTCTCTTTTTATCAAAGGCCGATATCTAAATATTTTGAACGCAATTTTATTCTTTCAGCTACCGATAAAATGTATTATTGGTCACGTGGCTATAATTTGGTTTGGTTTGTTTTACGACATATCAAGCCATTGGGTCATTTAATGCTGCAATTTAATATTTCTCTAAAGAAAATCTTCTATTTAAACAGACAAAAATATTTATTAGCAAATATACTCTTAGTTATCGTTATATTTTTCGCTTTTAATTATATTTTTGAAATCAATTTAATTTCTTGTTAGAAACTGAAACATGTAAAATGAATAAATATTTTGAAAAAACGCCCTTTATGTTTTAATTTTGTAGTAGACCTTTGTGCAAACTAATTGAAACAACCGCTTTAGTTTCCATTCTTTCACCATATGGTCAGCTTTAGATCCACTCGAGTAACAGTGTGTAATCGATAAGGTCTTTTGTAGTGGTGTGCAGTAATATGAATCTATTTTCGGGATGTTTGTTGAAATTTGTTTTCCCTTGAACATATTGCCTCATCCGTGATTGCATTAGATTTTCGTCACACCCAGACACTATTGTCTCAACTGTCGATTAGTTGTCCTACGGCCATTGTCTGCGATGGACGTTACTCCAAGGATAAGTACGAAAATTGTAAAGCTGCACGAACACACTGGCAAGCTTTACCAGTGAACAAATAAAAGTAACATAGACTGGCCGGGAAACTCTCCTGATTTAAATCCAATCTGTGAGGAACGACTTCAAGGAATGAACACACGAAGTACTAACATGTGCGTTGGGTCAAGTTTCATTGGAGAAATACGAAAAAAGAAATAACTGAATTATTCGTTTTGTTTCAATTAATTTGCACAAGGGTGCATTTTAATCTGGTTGAATTAAAATTGCTCCAGTTTGTCAGTGTGTATGGTGAATGGATCTTGGCATGCCCCAAATACTGGAGGATCTGGTGCTATTCTTCAATACCTGGTTTTATTTTGAACAGTATATTCCTTAGGGAGGATATCCATAGATTCTGCAATTTCTCTCGTATCATTTTACTATAAATAGGTATTGGTCATTTTATTATATTAAAATGTATTATTGGTATTTATACTGGAAAATATATTTTTATACTTCCATAGTTTTTGGGGTCCACTATTTTGCCCATAGCTGGGGCCCTAACAGGTTCTACCATCCCGGGTCAGGATGGAACTGGGAACAACAGCAATTAAGAGGTGGTTTTACGCTACTCAAAACCGTCAATCAAACGATCAGAGACCTTGCTTGATGCGTTTTCTACGGTTTATCCACCCACTGAGGTTATTTATAGCCAGAAAATATTTTTAGATTATATAAATATATACTGGTTTAGTGATACAAGTCATACTAATTAATTCATAGCTGAAGAAATGTTAGATTCATGCCTTTTCTAGGTGTGTGAATATAACGAACACGAAGGTAATTGAAATTTGGCTCTCACACTACCCCTACATCCAAACTCACAGCAGATTTCCAAGATGTCTTCCATCTAGGTACTGACTAGGCTCGACGTTGCTTAACTTCGGTGATCGTACGGTGTTTCAACGTGATGTGCCCCCAAAGTTTCAGGTAATGACGTCTTAGAGAATTTGATATTAACTTGCTATATTGAAGACAATAGAACCGGGAAAGAAGTGAATATTTTGTATAATGATTTTCTGCGAATAGCTACCAGACCTGAGACAAGTAAGGATGGTAAAGGGTAAGCATTTACGGGAAGCTGTGGAGAGTCTTTGACCGTCTAATTCCTGAAAGAACTTGCTATTTAAAGGAGTAAGAATGACGTAAAAAATCAAGTATTTCGGAAATAATAGTTTATTCTTTGTCTTCATATTTTAAGTAACTTAAAATTAACAGCCCCTTGTATTAAAAAAGCAAAAAAAAAAAAATGTAAAAATAAAATAAAAATAAATAAAATAAAATAGAATAAAAAAAGGAGACTAACTGTAGCGATCTGAACCTCCTGAGAAGCAGAAGAAAGGGCATAGTTTAGACAAAATACAATACGCTACAATGACAATCTCTTACGTAATGTCTTTTTCGCATTGCTTTTTAGAGACAAAGCGACCGTGGTGGGTGCGGTTTACAGATTGAGTTTGACAAATCCATCAAGGAGTCGGAGAAAAACAGTAAGAGAGAGAGAAAAAGAGAAAGAGATAGAAAGAAATAAAGAGAGCGAGAGAAGCAGAGAGTAAGAGACAAAGAGTGAGAATCAAGAAAATAAAATAAAAAAAGAAGGAAAAAAGGAAAGGGTAAAAAAAAAAAAAAAGAATGGGTTCCTGAAATTATTCATTTTTTCTTGTAGTTTCAAATTTAGAGAATTTT